AAGCCCAGCTTGGAGCTGCCCGCGAGCGCGGGTTTGCTCTCCTGCTCCCGGATCCCCATGGCGACCGGGGAGCAGGCCCAGCTGGGGCTACCTGCAGGCCGGGCTTTCCTGCTCCTGGATCAGGCCCAGCTGGGGGCTGCCCTCAGCCTTGGGCTTGCTTTCCTGCTCCCGGATCAGGCGCAGCTGGGGGCTGCCTACAGGCCACACTTTTTCTACTTACTGATGGCTGGATCACCACAGCGAACCAAGGGCCCAGTTGCACTTTTCCTGCTCTCCCATTAGCCAAAGGGTCTTGGTGGGGGGGGGGGCTAAGCAGGGCCGGGGCTTTAGGCGGGCACGGGGGTCCGGGCTGGGGGCCTCAGGGGGACCATAAGGGGTCCGGGTAAGGGGCGGGCTTTATGCCCGGCTGCCCAGGCTTGCACATGGGGCCCGGATGGCAGCTCGCGCTGTCCCGCCCTGCCTGTAGTATAGGATAGAGGCCTGGTGCACTGGTGGGGGCCGTCTGGTTTGCCCTGAAGGGTGTCCCAGATCAGGGTGGGGGTCCTGCTTGGTTGCCTGGCCAGCCTGGATGACAGGCTGATGGCTGTTTTTAGGCTGTCTGCACCCCCTTTAGGGTGGGGGTCCCCACTGGGGTGCCTGGCCAGTCTTGATGAGGGGCTGAGGGCTGTTTTCAGGCTGGCAGGTGACTGAAGCTCTCAGCCTCTCCTTTTTTTCTTTTTTCTTTTTTTATTCTGGGATTTATTTACTTTCTATGGCTGTCACTAAAGCTGAGAACCGGCTTTAGCTCTGAGGCCGGCTCCAGCTTGAGGCCTCCACTGCTGAAAGCAGATATCTGGGCTTTGTTTAGCTTCTATAATTGAAACTCTGTTGCCATCACTGCTGCTCTAAGCTCTGAGCCCTCTGCCGGCTGAAAGCAGCTATCTGGAGCTTGTTTAGCTTCTATACTTGCAACATAGTTGCTTAGAGTGCAAGCTCAGAGCCCAGCAGCGGCAGGCGGGGAACCTTGGCTTCCTCCGTCACTGGAGCAAGCAAGCCTCCTGTTCGCTTCAGCTGCCTAGCTGCCGGCCGCCATCTTGGTTGGCAGTTAATTTGCATATCCTGCTGATTAGCCAATGGGAAGCATTCGGGGGTATGGTCAATTTGCATGTTTCTCTTTTATTAGATAGGATTGCCACCAGATTTGCTGATATGTTTAACCTACTGAATTGAATTGCCTTTGACTTGCAGGAGGATGTTAACAAAGCAGTGAAGGCTGCGCGACAGGCTTTTCAGATTGGCTCTCCCTGGCGTACTATGGATGCTTCGGAAAGAGGACGGCTACTGTACAAATTGGCAGATTTAATTGAAAGAGATCGTCTGCTGCTGGCTGTGAGTACTCACCAAACCAGGCAGCTAGTGAGATCTCTAGAAAGCATTCATTGTTTGGATTGCAAGTTGTTTTGATTTTGGTGATCACTACATGCTCTCTACAAAGAAATCAAAGAGACTTTATCTACCAGCTCTCATATAGGAACATTACCATTGAGTTTGTTTTTAGATTGAAATCTGTACTTCGGTTCTGGATGATGTTAACTTCTACTCCAAGAGTAGATTCTACAGTCTAAACTTTGGCAAACCCCAAGTTAAACCAAATTAAATAAATTTCTTTCCTTCACTCTGGAATTTCTGAGTGATTAACAAGGTACCATGTAGTGTGGATATCCTGGATAAATATACTGGATTTCTCTAACTTATTTGACCACTGTCCTCTTTGAGTAGAAAATCTTATAGAGTTTTTTAAAGGTGCCTAAAATATTTCTAAATCTTATTTTTCCTTAATCTAGCCCTCCAACACACTTAATAAATGACTCCTTTTTCCCTTCCTGAAATGAATGTGCTTACAATGGTATTGATTAAATTATGTGCTTTATGCAGGTGAAAAGGTGAGGAATAAAGAAAAAATCCAATTATTCATGTGTTTATAAAAATTATGATTTTATGTATACTACCTTTTAAAAAACATTTTAACAGTTAGATGAGTAAGCACATAAAATGGATAGGGGAGATTACTTCCTTATTTTCTTCTCAATTGGGTGTTACAGTGAAGCCAATTTAACGCAAACCAATATAAGATCAGGTTCCAGAGTAAATATTTATTACTTTTAGACTATTAACTGACAGTAACAAAGAGGCCTACATTTGTTTAAAAAGTCAACATTAGCAATTATAGTGCCTCAAAACACCATTTATTACTCAAAGATTCAAAATATATATAATTATGCAATTAGAAGTTATATAGAATAAAACTACATTAATCAAAATGTCCTGTAGGAGGAAAGAATTTGCCAAAATTGGCTTCTCTTATTTATCTGATATGTGGATTATAGAGAGTTGACTGTTTTCCTCATCATAAGATCCTCAGGGGAAAAATAGAATAGGCATACAAAAGTCATGTGTAATTAAATTTTGAGATGGTGTGCAATATAAGGCAGAGACAGATTATATATGAAGAAAAGCTTTAATAGCTTATCACATGTACTTTCCTGCCCCAGAGAACATTACATTCCAAAGGAAGGGAGGAAAAGAGGAGAGAGGTCATCTGATAATGCTAGGGACACTAGACTAGAAAATGTTGAACTTTGCAGTCTGATCATTAAAACAATAATTATGAGCCCAGCCAGTGTGGTTCAGTGGTTGAACGTTGACCCATGAACCAGGAGGTCATGGTTCAATTCTTAGTCAGGGCACATGCCCGGGTTGTGAGCTCGATCCCCAATGTGGGGCATGCAGGAGGCAGTCGATCGATGATTCTCTCTCATCATTGATGTTTCTACCTTTCTTTCCCTCTCCCTTTCTCTCTCTGAAAATCAACAAAAACATTTTAAAAAAAAACCACACAATAATTAAGATAATAATGGCAAAACTGGGAGTTTCACAATTAAAAATTCTGCTGAAGAAACTCATAGATGAAAGATCCAGGGGCCTGTTAACTTTGTGTGAATTGATTGCTTCTATCCAGATGGAATTCAAAAATTAAAAATAATTATTGCAGCATTATTAATAGCCACTGACACAAAATTGCCAGCCGCATTTGTATTATACAAGTGAAATCTTGTTGGAACCCTGAACTGTCTAAGGAAACTGGTTGTGCGTGTATCAAATTGTGACCACTTCCTAGCAAGTTGGTGAGTTGGAGGACATTTGGAATGGGACAGAAGGAGCACTAGAGTTAGAAACCAGAATCTTATTAACCTTTCTATCTAGATCAGGGGTCCTCAAACTACGGCCCGCGGGTCACATGCAAATACAAATATTGTATTTGTTCCCGTTTTGTTTTTTTACTTCCAAATAAGATATGTGCAGTATGCATAGGAATTTGTTCATAGTTTTTTTTTTTAAACTATAGTCCGGCCCTCCAACGGTCAGAGGGACAGTGAACTGGCCCCCTGTTTAAAAAGTTTGAGGACCCCTGATAGATCTTGCTATGTGGCCTTAAGCAAATCAAAGCAAGTCATCTTAACTCCCTTTTCAGTCTCCTTTTTAAGGAGGTTAAACAAAATGACTGCTATTTCCAGAATTTACTAGCGCATCATTATTCAAAATATTAACTATATATTTTTAATCTAAAAATTTACGGAAGTCTAGATTTGAGGTTTGATCTTTTTTATTTTTTTTCCAGACAATGGAGGCAATGAATGGTGGAAAACTATTTTCCAATGCATATCTGATGGATTTAGGAGGCTGCATAAAGACATTACGCTACTGTGCAGGGTGGGCTGACAAGATCCAGGGCCGCACAATACCTATTGGTAAGTAGCTCTGAGGAGATTCCTGTAGAGCGGAATAATTCCAAACACCCCCTTTAAAGATGTCAACCAAATAAGGCAAATTTATTGTCTTCCCGACTTTGAGACAATGCAGGTCTGAACCTGGAAGTTCGGCTACAATTCATCATTTGGCTTTTAAAATTGTTTCAGCATAATCCATGCAGAAGATAACACTACAGATGTTTTAGAAAATATTAAAGTGAGAACATTATTATGCTTGAATTACTGACTTAAGGCAATTTTCTTTCTAAGGGCCCAAACTTTTCAAAGAGGGCCACTGAAATTATGCAGGTTTTATTCCTAGAGGCACTTATACCCTTTCTAAATTGTAATTATTTAAGCCACTTTGCATATCATGTGTGAGTCACTTTATGATCGTCTGTGCCTGGTCTCACTTAAGTTAGCTACATCAGATTACTTAAACCAGTTCACACATGGGACTGTTTTTATAGCCTGGTTTAAGAATTTGTATGAGTGAATATTTTGTGTGTTAGTATTTTAGTAGAGTATGCACATGATGGGATAGGAATATTTAAAAAGCATCATTTTGGAAGACATTATGGGTAGAATTTGATTCATATAAACTTACTGACTACAGAAATACAGCGCCCTCCAGGACTGGCCCTGATGGGCATTTCCAATGTAATTAGAGCATCCAGCAGGTTAGAAGTGAGAGCCAGGAAGTTAAAAGGGGAGAGCGAGAGCCTGGTGATACCAAGAAATGTGGCTATTTTAGAAACTCTTACTTAACCCTTTGACAAAATGGGAGGAGTCAGTTAAAGTTACCAATAGATTTTGATAAGGAGCCTTCTTGCTATGAGAGCCAGGGAGTTTTTGTGGGAACCAGGCCAGAGAACACACAGCACAATGTAACCTCAGGACAACCACATCAAACTCTGAGGCATATGAAGAAGTCAAGTCCAGATTGAAGACAAATGTACTTTGGACATTTTTTTTCATGGATTAAGAGAGTTTGCTTTTATTGTTTGGTAGGCAAAAACAAAACAAGACATTTTAAAACATGCCAGTATGAAAGATTTATTGCTCTTAAGAAGATTTTTTTTTAATTCTGCTACTTTTCAATTCTACTATTGTTTAAATTATATTATTTAAAATTTTTTCCATCATTACTGGTAGAACTTAGAGCTTCCAGAAACAGAACTTTAATAGTTCTTTTCTTAGTCACACGCCTTTTACTTCCTTTCTCATGAAAGAAAGGAAACTTGGAGGATAAGGATGCTTTAGAAAACAGCCCTCCTGTATGGTGAGAGAGAGAATGAAATATCTTTCAGATCTTTTCCAATTTTGCATTTTGGCGTTGGCCTAGTTCAGTTTTATGGTTTCTCTCATCTCAAATTGCTATGTAAGAATCAAATGTGGAATCTAATGTACAAAATAAACTGGTGGAAAAATAGATCCAGAGACATCGAAGCATAGAACAGGGAAGGCAGGGGTGGGAAGAAATCAAAGAACTTGTATGCATGTATGCATAACCCATGGACACAGATAATAGGGGGGTGAAGGCCTGTGGAAGACAGTGGGGGTGGGCTAGAAGGGGTCAATGGGGCGGGGGAGGGAGACATATGTAATGCTTTCAGTAATAAAGATTTAATTTTAAAAATTGCTATTTGAAAGCTCAAATTTTTATTTTGCAAATAGTTGGAGATATCTTGTTTTATTATTGCTGTCTGTACCTTTCTCCCACATCAGCCCCAAATTACCATTTCATGGATGTCAGTCACATTATATATAAATGATAATGTGTTTTATTTTCTAGATGGAGACTTTTTTACTTATACAAGACATGAGCCTATTGGTGTGTGTGGCCAAATCATTCCTGTAAGTTGGTCTCCAATTTAATTTTCAGTCTTAAAAAGAAAATGAGTTCTAATTGTATTTCATTTGGTAATGAGGCTTTCTCCAGCACAAATGGCTGCTTAGATGTTTGCCAAATGTGTGACAAATGTAGTAACTGTTGAACTTGTGTCTCCCTGTGACTGAATTCTTTGGAAATGAATTACGTAATCCAGAAATCTATCTATATCCTGCATATCTCTTGAGAGTGTTTCAGTATTACAGCATCAACAAATCTTGACCTTTTACTCAATGGTTTGTTTGTAAAATGCTGTATTATATACTCTTTTTGAGACTCTTTGTTTTTAAAACGCAGCATTATATACTCTTTTCAAATCCTGAGTGAATTTTTTAAGTTAAAATGGAAGAAACTGTTGGAGCACTGTATGGAATATAGCCTCACTTTACATAAGAAGCTTTGATACTTCAAATTCCTGATAGAGAAGGTAGTATTTTAAAGCAAATTTCTTTTAAGCCCCACAAATAGGAAGCTATCTAATTAGATTGCATTTTAACTGTCATATTTTAAAAAGGCCAAATAAAACGATGGTAAAATGTCCCAAAGTTCCTAGAGGAGGAAGTAGCAATGATTTATCTTCTGCTTCAATGAGATTGAAATGTATAGGTATCAACATTTTGAATGAAATTTCTTCTTAGTTCAAAAATTCCAATAAAATCCATAACACAACACAATCTCAAATACAAATAATAGCTAATATTTACTGCCTGCCTGTGATGAACCAAGTGTGTTAAGTACTTGGCCCACTTTCTCCATGAATCTCCAGGACAGCTTTCTGAGATAGAGAAGACTTGCATCAACATGTACAGGTGATGAACTCATGCTGAGAGAGCATGCAACTCATCTGAATTCACATGGCCGATTGGTGGCTGAGCTAAGATGTGAACCAAGCTCTCAGCCTTCAGACCCGAGACTTATTTGCCTTGAACAAGATATTTGTCTTAGAAATAAATGCTACTAATTAATGTTATTGGGTAAATAGTTATAATAGATGATCTGCATACAGAGAGAGGAATAATCACATTTTGAAACACTTACATATAACTTACAGTATGTTTAATAGTAATGCTTGATTTCCAAACCATGCAGTGTTTTGTTTTTTTTCCTGGTAGAAAAAGCTCAGGATAACAGCACTTGATATGTTGTGGCCCCCTCTTGCTCCTCTTCTGTGTCCAGTTTCTTCCCAACCTTCTTAGCATTTATGAGTTGCTTTTAGCAAATAATTTAGTTAGAATACTCCTGATTAAACAAACCTACTACAATTATTATTTAACATCTCCAGGAAGTGTATAATGTAGAAGTCAGATTAGTGACTGTGACTTTCAGCAATTCAAAGACTCTATTGTTTCCTCTTGCCTTCTAGTGGAATTTCCCGTTGGTTATGCTCATTTGGAAAATAGGGCCTGCCCTCAGCTGCGGAAACACAGTGGTTGTCAAACCGGCAGAGCAAACTCCTCTCACTGCTCTTCACGTGGCGTCTTTAATAAAAGAGGTAAGTTTCCTAAAGCAAAATATGCACAAGACTCAGGAGCCCTGCCTTGCAATAGGAAGACCTCATTTGCTGCTACTGTAAACTGCATTGCTTGCCAATGGCTCCTGTCCAGTGCAGACACATTTAGCATGGCCGCCGGCTGGGCGCTCCGCGGGCAGTCAACCAAAATGAACCTCTGCCCAAAGGGAGACAGGGAGCCAGACTCAGAGGCTTCATGTCAAACAGTTGCCTCATGATCACTTTTTTGTTTCTTATCCCAACTATCATGAATGAAAAATTCATATTAAAATTGGTACAATTTTCATTAAAATGTTGAAATGTATGTTGGTTTATAACTGCCATTAATGGTCTGGAGTTTCTGCAAATTGTCTGAATAGTTCATCCGAAGGTTGGAGGGCTCTGTGCCAATACGCTTGCTTGTCATGTTGAGCCACATTATTTTTAAACACATCTACTCACAAGGGGATCTGTTGACATTCTCTTTTCTATTGTGGCTTCCTCTAAATGTACCTTCTTGGTCACTAGAAGCATAAATTTAGGAATACTGAACCCATATTTTAAAAAGACTCTTTACTTCAAATTTCAAAAAGTGAAAAGAGAAAGCAGATGGAGGGTTGAGGAACTGGGTGAAAAAAAAGGTGAAGGGATTAAGAAATACAGATTAGTAATTGAAAAAACAGTCTCAGGGATGTACAGCACAGCATAGGGAATACAGTCAATAATATTGCAATAACGGTATGGTGCTGTGGGTACTTGAAATATGGGGGGGATCACTTTGTAATGTATATGATTACCTAACCATTATGCTGTACACTTGAAACTAATCAAAAGTAATATTGAATGTAAACTGTAATTGAAAAATAAAATTTAAAGAAAACGAGGCATTGTGATATAAATAACATGAAATTTTGATGTGCCCATGTTGGTTGCAACACTGTTTTCTACCTGGTAATTATTTAACTAGGAATAAAATCAATCTGTGAACCTTAATCATGAATGGATGATAGTTCTTATCTAACATTGTACTGATCACATAATGCCAATGGGAATTTGTAACCCAGTTGTTATGCCCTGAACAATCAACAGGTAGAAACTAAAATGTGGGATCCCTTTAGCTGTTTATTTTTGCTTTCCTTCTATGTGAGTAATTTACCAGACACTTCTATACAGATTATCCTTTTGTATTGCTATTATGCAATTTGAGACAGCCATCACTGGAGCAATAATCTATAAAAGTCAAACATGGACTTACCCTGAGAAGAAATGTCCCCTCAACAATGCAACCAGCCCTTGAGGTTACTTTAGTGGCTAACAAATGAAATAATAATAGTGATGATAATAGTGAAACCACTTAAGTGAATCTTGTTTGATATGGAAGCTCATAAAGTTAACACAGAGTGGCAGCTTCGATCCCATGTTCTTCTCATTTCTGTCTTAACTGTTTTACTTTGCATCTTTTAGGCAGGCTTTCCTCCTGGAGTTGTGAATATTGTCCCTGGTTATGGGCCGACTGCAGGGGCTGCCATTTCTTCTCACATGGACGTAGACAAAGTGGCCTTCACTGGATCTACGGAGGTAACATCATTTCCTTAGGCCAGTCGTTAAGAAGGTCTGCATCTCCAGCTGTCAGAAGTGTGTTCTATGTAACTGTTTTTAAGCCGACATTTCCTTAAAACAAAAGTTCCTTTTTAATGATTTGTTCCTTATTCTAACCTTCAAGCATGTTTATAGAACATAAGCAGATGTGGTTGAGATGAAACGAAATACCTATTACCAACTCAGAAGGACTGGAGTGAGCTGCTTTCAGTGTGCTCATTCCTTTCCCTGATGAGAAATATGACCAGTTGTTAGACCTTGGCGTTTGGTTAGGTCCAGTTTATGATAGAAAATATAAATTAGGCTACAATGATTTGTATGAATAAATGTAATTTTACCCTGTAGATTATCAAACCTAAACAGCAGAGCCTCACCCTTAGCTCCTTATTTGGGGCTCTCTCTTCTACGAACATTCTGAAAGGCCAGCAGCTCAGCTTCCCTGGATGTTGTTGCTGGCCCAGCCTAACTTTTCTGCCTCTCTGGCTCCAGGTGGGCCTTCTAAAAGGTTAATGAACAAGGGCCCAACCCATATTAAAGTAAAATGCTAAATAAGCCTGCCTTCAGGAGAGGAGGGTAAGCCTCCTCTTTTGTAACGCTCCATTTCAGGTTGGCAAAATGATCAAAGAAGCTGCAGGGAAAAGCAATCTGAAGAGGGTGACCCTGGAGCTCGGTGGAAAGAGCCCTTGCATTGTGTTTGCTGACGCAGACTGTGAGTAGAAGCCACTTGTTAACTTTTCCCTCTTCATCCTTCCTGGTGTCTGGTAATGTCATCCAGTGAACTCGAAGTTTACAAAGGGGTTTGCTTCTAACGTCAAAGTGTAAGGCCTTAATCAGAGTCCAGAATTACTCTGGAGAAATCTCTTAACTTGTCCTAACGTGATAACTCTAGGTAAGTCTAACAGAGACACTCCTTCTTTCTGGTTTGGAATAGATTACTATTCTCCCAGCTGAACTCTGGACGAACTAATGGTTTTACACTTAGGAGCCACAACATATTTTTTAAATTCCGTACCTTTAAATATTAACATCACATTAAGAAGAGTGAGATACCCTCAGACATATTGGACTAAGGCCAACAACCACATTTATTCAGATTCTACTATTTGTTGCCGTCATTTCAGAAGCAGAAAGGATTAGAAAAGTTAATTTGTCACCTGGCTGATAAGAGGTGGAATATATTGAATCAATATCTGACTACATGACTCATGATTTTTCTGTAACACCATATTGCCTTTGAGAAATGTGTATAAAAATATATCATCTTTAGAAAAGATCTCTTTTGTAACATGAGTGTCTTCTTTGCAGTGGACAATGCCGTTGAATTTGCACACCTTGGGTTATTCTACCACCAGGGCCAATGTTGTATAGCTGCATCCCGGCTTTTTGTGGAAGAATCCATTTATGATGAGTTTGTTCGAAGGAGTGTTGAGCGAGCTAAAAAGTATGTTCTTGGAAATCCTCTGACCCCAGGAGTCAGTCAAGGCCCTCAGGTGAGTATGAAGGAATAGCCTTTTCAGGGGACACTATCAAGTGTCCTCTTTAAGCCTAGTTTTTATTGAATAGCATTACTTCCCAGATATGTAGTATCTTCCTAGGTGACAATATTATAACAGTGTGATTTAAAAGACAATCTAACTCCCAACAATTTTTACATCTAAGAGTTTAACAGTCATATTGGGAATTAAAGATGTGAGAGAAAATAACAAATTATATAACTTTCTTGTTTTCTTCAATCTTCATGCTTCTTGATTTCTATATACAGTTTCCTGTCCACTTGGAAGTTCTTAAACAATGATATCACTTAGTTCTTCCTCAGAATCAATCCTTTGTCTCAGCTTCCATCCCACAGAGAGAGGCACCCAGCACATTCCTAAATTCTCTCCAATGCTTTCAGTTGCTCTAATGGTGACACGTGTCCTGAAAGGTCTTGAGTTCCTGGGTTTGTAGCAAACTTCTCATCTTAGTTAAAAACCGATCATTCCTCTAGGGTCCCCCCTTTCTTCTGTCTTCCTAGAACCATCACCAATAAGAGTGTCTCTTTCTTTAACTCTCTTATCCAAAGGTGACCCTTCCCTCTTCCTTGCCCAGTTCTTTGTTATGGAAGCTCCTGGACCTTTGGTTCTAAACTTACTCCTACCCTTTGGGATCTTGATCTAGAGCAGAGAATTTCGCCCCCCTCCCCACCAAAGAGACAACTGGTATTGTTTGAGATATTTCCAGTTGTCACAACTAGGGGCAAGGAGTGGTTCTACTGTCATCTAGTGGGTAGAAGCCAGAGATGTTACTTAACACCTTACAATGCACAGGAGAGCCCCACATCAAAGATTTTCCTGGCCCAAATGTCAATAGGGCCACTGTTGAGAAATCCTGCTCTAGAGACTACACATTAAGCTCAGAGGCTCTATTCTTTCACAATATTCATATATACTGTTCCACACTTGATTTGGGGAAAAAAACACTATTATTGACTTATTCACTAAGCCAAAGATAAATCTGATTAACCACAAGTTATCAGCAAAACCCTGGGATAGGTACCTGGCAATGCCAAAAGAAACAGGTTATGCTACCCGACCTCATAAAGTTTAGAGTTGAGATACGTTAAAAGGCTGTCTTGTAGTTTCCTGCTCATGCAAGATATCCTAGTAGGAAAATCTTATGAGTTAGGCAATGCCAAACATTCAGACATAAAAGCTCAAAAATAGCTGGCAAATAAGGTAGTAAGTGGCTGAGTGTTATCCCTTTATGCTTTGTATTTATTTTGGAGTCACATTTTGCTATAACGTAGTGCTGGTTGTCTGACCACATTGTCCGTAACAAGACATTAAATTCCTGTAATTTTAGAAGTTAGTGACCATGTAAGTTTTCTAACAAATAATTCTTTAGCTTCTATATGCCAGTGCATAAGCAGGGATTGCATTGTTACCAAAGATACGTCATGAGATTTAAAAAATAATTTTTGGAGGTATAGTCAGATTAATGTATTGGAATAGGCCAGAGAAGTTTGTAGGAAGTGCATGGATCTTTGACTATTTGTTGACAGAATATCTTCGCCAGGCAGACCTACCTAACCTCACCTCTTCGTCTGGTTGTATTAAATATTATACAGTAATTTAAATATTACCTCTTATTAAATCAATACTACAGCTTCATTTATCTGATGGAAATGAAGAAACATTTTGTTTTTGGAATATTCCATTAAATATTGTGCACTGAGGAGCATTGAGCAACATTGTACGGAATGTTGTGCCAATCTTAGAAAATGGTTTCCACTTTCCAAATAGCATTTAATCTAATTGGCTATGGTTGCTGGGTTGTGTGCAGTTAGAACTTTATAAAACCTTTTATTGGGCCTTGGAAGATGGGGGAGATTTCAGAGTCAGAGAAGAAAATAAAGAACAACATTTTTTTTAAGTAGTGAGAAAAGACAAGTTAGCCTGGTAACTCACCTTAACCCCTCGATCTCTGAAGATTTCCCTTTAAAACCTCAGCCACACCTGAGACAATACAGTCTTCACCAGTGGTTTGGCGTCCAGGAGTCACCCAATCCCTCAATGTCCCAACATAGGAATTGAGGCAACAGGTGGCACCATTCTGGTGCGTGGAGGGGAGGTGTGTGCTCTTGGTGTTCCCAGACAAAACTCTGCACTCATTTTTTCTGCTTATAAAATATTATTTAACAAACCATTAAAGTTCTGTAATTTTTCGTGACATGTTTAGATGTGGCCCATTTAATGAAGAGAGATGGCAACAATCAGAATGGGCCAGAAATTAAAACCAGACCTACTATTGACCCCAGGGGGCCTGAACTGGGAAGGATGGCCAGGCTGTGGTCAGCATGGACTCAGCCGTGAGGGATGATCAGAAATGAGGAGAACCAGACAGGGGTCCAGGAGTCTTCCTAAAGTCCCGTAGCATCTTCTTTCCAACTGCTATATCTAATTCAACCCAGTACCGAAGTTCTTTTTTTCTGCTATCACTCTTTTTTTTCCGTTAGGACTCTAGTTTCCAGTGTGTTTGATTATTAACAGGCATTTCTTCCAGTGTGAAAAAATGAGTCATGTGCTTGCAGTGCCAATAGGCTTTTCTTATACAACTGTAAAAAAAAATACTAAATACAAATCTCTATCTTCAAGATACATGGAAATGTCATTAAAAAATGTCTTCAAAAGTCATATGAAAGTAAAATCTACCCAAAGAATGAATCTGAGCCTCTGTCCGCTGTGTTGATTATTTGACTTAACAATAGCATTCTGAAGCCCTCCGTAACAGGCCTCGCAATTATTTTCTTTACAAGTTGTTAAATTTCTTTTCCTTTTCATGTGGTATTTTTCAAATAGATTGATAAGGAACAATATGAAAAAATACTTGACCTCATCGAGAGTGGGAAGAAAGAAGGGGCCAAGCTGGAATGTGGTGGAGGCCCCTGGGGGAATAAAGGCTACTTTGTCCAGCCCACGGTTTTCTCTAATGTCACCGATGAGATGCGCATTGCCAAAGAGGAGGTAAATGGTTTCATTCTGCTCTGTTCCCTCTATTGCCACATTTTGTCTGCGGGTGTGTACACAGTGTCCCTTGAAAATTCTCTCTTTGAACATCTTTCTTAGTAAATGTTACTTTTTATTTCTGTTATTGATAAAGGTTTAAAGTTGTGATCAAGACTAAAAATAGTAAGGAATGTATTGGGCAGGCCAACAATATCCACCCAAATACAGATCAGAATGCTGAACAATTTCTAGGTGCTTCCTTCACAGACTTAAACAGAAAAGAAAATTGTCTCTTTAATATTGCTTTTTCTCCTTTGGAAAGAAAATATTTGAAAATAATGGGAAAGGATAAAATTATATGCAGTTTTTTACTTAAGCTTTTTATTTTGAGATAACTGTAGATTTAGTTGCTGTAGTAAGGAGGAATACAGAAAAATCCATCTACTCTTTATCCAGTTTCCTTCAATGGTAACATCTTGCAAAACTATAGTATCACAGCAAGTATGTTGACATTGAAACAATTAAGACACAGAACCACATTTCATCACATGACACCTTCATGCTTCCATTTAATAGCCTAATCCATGTCCCTTCTACCCAACCTTGGCTTTCCCTTCACCACAAATCTATTCCCTATTTCTATAATTTTGTCATAAGAATGTTAAACAAGTGAAATCATACTTTATGTAACCTTTCGGGATTCACTTTTTTTCACTCAACACAATTCTCTCTATATAGATTCATCTAGGTGTTGCATGTAAGAATAGTCTTTCCTTTTTATTGCTGAGTAGTATTCCATAATATGATGTACCACAGTTTGTTTAACCGTTCACCCATTGAAGAACTTTTGGGTTGTTTCCAGTTTGGGAAACATTTCTATAAACATTGGTGTATAGGTTTTTGTGTGAACATAAGTCTTCATTTCTCTGGTATAAATGCCCAGGAGTACAATAGCTGAGTCATATGTTAAATGCAGTTTAAGAAACTTCCCAACTGTTTTCTAGAGTAGCTGAGAGATTTCACATTCCCATTAGCCATATATGAGTGGTCCAGTTTCTCTGTATTTTTTTCATATTCTGTTCATTCAACAAATGTTTATTTCAAGTTTATGAAATGACAGAGAATCTAAGTGGGTTATTTTCTTTCCCAAAATGTCATCAAATTAGGGGGAAAGTGCAGAACCATTTCCAATCTGCAAACAGGAAATAAATAGGAAAAAAACCCACAAAAAAACAAATGCATGTGGATAATCAAACAACTTCTTTTCTCCACATCAGTTCAGCCCTCCACTGAATTATAACTTGCATTTACTGATTTCAAATATTTGTCTTATTAGGTCATTCTTGCTTATCTTGGTTAACAGCAGATAGAATTAGAAAAAAAACTTCAAGCATGTATTGTGTTCCTACAATATTCATGGTAGAACAGCTTGTGTGTTACTTCAAAGTAAGAGTCTGGCCAGGCCGTGGTGGCTCAGTGGTTGAGCGTTGACCTATGATCCAGGAGGTCACGGTTTAATTCCCAGTTAGGACATATGCCCGGTTGTGGGCTAGATCCCTAATCCTGTAGGAGGCAGCCAATCAATGATTCTCTCTCATTATTGATGTTTCTACCTTTCCCTCTCCCTTCCTCTCTGAAATCGATATATATAAAAGTAGGAACCTGGGGCCAAATGCTGTGTTCAATTAAAATTATGTAATATATTAATATATCTATTACAGTAGCTGGTTCACAGGCCAATATCCTTAGATTTATAACCTTCGGATTTATACTCAGCCTCTACTGAATGGGAGCTTCCCCCTCCTACACTTAGAGCAATGATGAACATCAGAAAACTATCCTTTCTGATTTTTGTCTTCTCTAATTGACATTTCCCAGAAAATTCTGGCAACACTCACAGGAGCCCTCTTTACTTTTAATATATGTGTTATGGAACAATAATATAGGAGTTTACTTTTTAAGAGAAACCCCAGTTGTTTTTCTCCTACCAGGAGGTAAGATACAGAATGAGTTGAGTTTGGGCTGCACTAACTAGAGAGTTCAGCAAAAGTGAAAATGTTCAGGCTAGAATGAGCAAATTGTGAATTTGTTTCCTGTGCTGTGATTATAATCATTGTCAATGAATTCATGCTTTGGTTAGTACAGAGTGAATAAGGATTTAAGCTCTGGCAGTAATGAATCATTCTGTTCGGTATGTGAGTTGAATAAGACTTGGCTGAAGTGTAGAATCTGAACAAGATTTGGCTGAAGTGTAGAATCTGAACAAAAATTCATGTTGTTTCACCTAACTTGATTGATTATGAAAATATCTAAGACCAATATAATAGTTGATATTTCAATTGATGGTAAACTGATATTTACAACATTATTATCAATCATTGCCTATTCATGTATCCAGTAGAACAAACATTGCTTTCTTGGTTTGCTGTTTATGTAGTTACTTGGAAGATGAGGAAAACTAGGGAGAAAATTTAAAACGTTCCTAAATAGAAAAGCAACTCTGTAGTTAATGATTTCATGCATAATCATTAAGTTCTTGAAAGAGTAATTCCAATTCTAGAAAACGAATTATGCCTTATTTGTATCCCATCTTGTTCCAAAGAGAACGTAACATGTTTTAACTTAGCATTCCAGCAGTTACCATTTTGATCCTTACACATGAGATGAGAAGCAAAATCTTAATTTAGGATGATTTATAAGGCAGAAAATTATATTATCTAAAATATTTAGTTTTAACCTATTACTTTGATTTATTTCATCCATTTCTTATGGTGTAGATATTTGGACCAGTGCAGCAAATCATGAAGTTTAAATCTTTAGATGATGTGATCAAGAGAGCAAACAATACTTCCTATGGCTTATCAGCAGGAATCTTTACCAAAGACCTTGATAAAGCCATAACAGTCTCCTCTGCTCTGCAGGCCGGAACAGTGTGGTAAGTCAGACCTATAAATACTGGCTTTTCAATGATAACTACATGAATAGGTTACTTTATCCTTTTCATTTGGAATCGCATGGCCTGCTGGAAAACAGTTGTTACCAAAAACAAAACACACTCACACACCCTCTACGATTTTGGAAGGATATTTTCTTTAACTCCTTCCAGCCTCCTGAAATTGCTTGCCCCAAGTATGGATGCTAGGCACTGCACTGCTTTCTTTATATTCATTATCTTGTTTTACATTACAGCTGCTTAAGTATGTTAAATTTAACAGTGGAAAAAACAAAAGCTTAGCAAGATCACACAATGAATGACAGCTGAAACTCACTTATTTCAAACTCTACAGCAGTGGTTCTCTACCTTGGCTGTACATTAGAGTCGCCTGAGGAGCATTCAACATACATACACTGATTTGTGGTGAGGAGAGTTTGCATTAAACCTACTGATTATATCGCTCTCTGTGACTGAGTCTGGGCAAAGCTCTTTTATTTAAGGAGTACTTTTCAAAGATGTCATGATTCTCATGTGTAACCGGGATAGAGGACCACTGCTCAAAAGCCTGATTCTTTCTATAATGCGGTGCTGTCTTTCAGAGACTCTTAATAAAATTAAATCATCAGTATGGCTGGTGACTAATGTAGAATTATCCCATGATACATTTATTAACTTGCTCACATGCAATAGCAATGATGAATTTTATTATCTCCATTTACTAAAGACTTCCTATGTATCAAGCACCATATAAAGTACAATTCTATACATCATCTTACACCTTGAAACAACCCTGTTAAATATAACCATGCCCTTTTTGAGAAGCTAGATAACTTTCCCACTGTTCCTCAGGTTCTGAGGGCCAAAACCAGAGTGTGTGGGCATAGCACCTCCCATTATAACAAGAAGGAATCTTAAAGAGAGAATCCATTGGCAAGGCTGATCACTTTGAACTTACATTTTCTCTAACTCAGTATTCCTCGGTTCTCTGTTTACTAGCACTAACATAGTTTCATTTCCAGTGCTTTTAAAAAAAGACAGGTTTCAGGTTTTTGACTTTTGGAATCACACAATGTTATATGCCTGTCTGATTGGGAAGCTTATTATGACATCATTCCACCCAGTGGCGTGGGAATCCCCAGTCAGAAATTTCTTTACTATTAAAACAGAGGCGACTAGATTCTTATTACTGTATATCTGAAAACACAATGATGTTCTGGCATTGTCCCAGAAATAGTCACTGCATGGTGTTTTCCAGATAATTACTGAATTCCAGAGTTTTGGGGATTTTACTCATAATTTCAAATTAATGATTCAATTTTGCAGTTGAAAGAATAATTAAACAAAGCTGAGACAAGTTGTCTTTTGAAAGTGTAAGTTTATTTAAAGAACTATCTTCCAGGAAGAAAGGCTGGATAAGAACACTGTGGTTCATCGAAAATATGGAACTCTGGAAAATGGATAGCAAATGCTGTAACTGAGAAAATGTCTAAGTATTATCTCAGGATCAATTAATAACCAAACTCTCCCAAGCATAATATAATTTATCTATAAGTCACACTGTTTTTTACCTATCATAATGGCATAAAGAGAGGAAAAGTGTTTTAAAAGAACGTGTTCCTCCTTTAAATAATACTGTTTTCCTCTTATGTTTAATGAGAGTCATGTCGATAATTAAATTTTACTGTTCACTTTGACCGCCAGGAAATTCAAAGCTAAACAATTTGTTCATGTCCTGCATAACTACATTCCCCCTTTTCTTGATCTTTTATCGTAATTTTTTCTTTAGTTCTAATCACTCATGTTTTTGTAATTATATTTGTTCAGAAATATGGCAAGGAGTAAACAGTTAATAATGAAATCCAACTCCTGCCAAAGCCTCAGTTTAAGCAGTTACTGAACCAATTAATGAAAAAAGTGAACTGAGTAACATGATACATATTGTCATTGCAAAAGAAAATTGACTCTAGCCTGTTAAGCACATAACTCACGAGAATTATAAGCTAATTGAGTGTCAGCAGTAACCCAGCCAACAAACTCCAGTCTCTAGCAAGCCTTTGTCCTAAGGCATACAAGCTATTCTAATTCAAACTACAACTTCTGAGGAACATATGTCCTACCCAAATGGCTATCCACATGCTGAGTTGTACCCTTATATTTGTTTCTAGGTTGTATATATACATATACCAGCGATTTTCAACCAGTGTGCCACAGGAATTTTTAAAACATGCAATAACTAACTATTTAGCCTGGGGCACTTACCTCTTTTCCCTTAGATTGTAAAAAAAAAAAAATGACAACAGCCAACACAACAACCATCCAGTGTGAGTGAATTATACCTGTGTGTTTTGGTGTGCCATAGAATTTTAATAATTTATGTATGCCATGAGATGAAAATTGCTGATTTATACTTATTGCAATGAATATGTTATATTGAAATTAATGGAATTCTTAAAGAACTCGCTGAATTTCTAAAATTCCAGATTTAGGGGTTATTTCATTGGTTCATGATGATCTATAATATACTTTTTGCTTTCTTTCCAGGGTGAATTGCTATAGCATGGTGTCTGCCCAGTGTCCCTTTGGTGGATTCAAGATGTCTGGAAATGGACGAGAACTGTAAGAATAACCTTCTATTAAGATAAATACTTATCTTGATAAAAATAGTTGTCACTCTCAGGGAATTAGTCCATAGTCACTACTTAAATTAAAACTTGCCTCTGTTCTTACTGCCAAATAGCTTTTTAAATGCTGGGTTTACCCAGTGAGTACAAAAAGGTAATGGCAGAAGGGAAATATAACTTAGGTCCCCTGTAAATAGTAGGAGTTTACTAACTTTGGTTATTGAAAACTTTCCCAGAAAGAAGCTAGAAACTACAAATTGGTGATTGTAAGAAGTGTGCAAAAATAAGAACACTATAATTATTTGAAAATATCTCTTAAGTAGATTAGGTGCCTTTATCTAAAAAAATTTTCAGCCCAGCCGGTGTAGCCCAGTGGTTGAATGTCAACCCATGCACCAAGAGGTCACAGGTTCGATTCCTGGTCAGGGCACGTGCCTCCGTTGCAGGCTCAATCCCCAGTAGGGGGCCTGCAAGAGGCAGCAGACCAATGTTTCTATCTCTCCCTCACCTTTCTTCCCCTTCTAAAAATATGTTTTTTAAATTTTTTTTCAATATTGAACTTAATGTGGACTCCAAAATTTTAAATTACCTGAATGAGTTTTTCTTGATACTAAAATTTAAATGAAAAGGAAATTTGAATAAAGATTTTGTTCTTTTCTTAATCCTCACCCGAGGAGTAAGGATATTTTACCCATTGGATTTTGTTTTGTTTTTTTATAAAGAGAGTGGGAGGGAGAGAAAGAAGAAACATGGATGTGAGAGAGATGTATTGGTTGGTTGCCTCCCACACTCACCCTGTGTAGGGCCAGGAATTGAACTTGCAACCCAGGTACATGCCCTAGGCCAGAAATCGAACCAGTGACCCTACAGTGCGCAGGCTGATGCTCTAACCACTTAGCAACATGGGCAAAGGAAAACATGTTTTATAGTCATGATTAAATTGAGAATATATATAAAAATGCATTTAGAAACCTTCAATGGCTTTTTAAACAACATATAGACTTTTTAAATGTACACATAGAAAATAATGGCAATATGTTTGCTTAATTTTGTTCAAGCAATTTAACCACTTCATTCTTAAAACTTTTTTATATTTAGCAATAAATTTTAAAAGTCTTCAAGATAAAAGACATATCATATACAAACCTTATGGAATCAAATATAGTAAAGCTGCCCATTTTATAAATAACAAGTAAAAGTGAGTCTCAGTTTCTAAAGGTCATGAATGCATGTACTTTGTCATTTAAATAAGTCAACAAAATTACAAATAACCAACTATCTTTGGAGAGCTGGTGAAAGAAGGAAATGATAAAATTATTCACCTTCTTCTCAATATACATTAATTAAGTACTTGTATGTATATAAGGACCAGGGAGTCCAAGAAACATGATACCATGTCCCATCCTTCATGTAATTATGGTGGCAAGAGGAATGTGTAATAAGATATATAGTGCAAAATAGCCTACATATGCTATAAAATGAATTGTATTAGATTGGGAGTCCATACCTAAGGGAGGTAAAGCAGTAAAGTGCAGAGCACAGTATTATTGAAGGACAGAACATTGAGAGTATAACATTTCTGGCATCTAACACAACTTTAATCTGTCCAAGGACAGAATTTGTGGTGGGATAGGAGTGGGAGAAGAAAATAGGTCTGTGAGCTCCTTTACATGTTTAAGATTCTATGGTTGTAACTAGTAGAAATTCAGTAGATAAAAACTTAATGGTAGTTGATAGAATAAGAGAAGATCTCAGAAAAGATAAGACTTGATCTAGGGGATTAAACACGTGTAGAAACTCAGTAAGTGGAGAAAAGGCAGTTCCGAACAGAATGTTACATGTGGCATGTTGAGGGGCTAGTGTTGGTTGGCTGGTGGGGATTTATGGAGTTGGGAAGAATGAGTCCGGAGTTAAATAGGATATGAATTAAGAAGTTTTGAATTCAAGAGAATTTGATTCCATCTTATTAGTGGGGCAGTGAAAAGCTGTGGACATCTTTAGAATGCTGTTGAGGAGGTAGAGAGTGGCAAAAGGTCAACCCGTAAAAAAGTGCATGGCATAGTACAGGAAACATAATTAGAGATTAACCAACTTACATTTGAATTCCAACTCCACTGTTTGCTAGCCTTGAAGCCTGCTCCAAGTTGTACAACTTTTGAGCCTCTGTTTTCTCCTGTTTAATATGGAGATGTTAACATTCCTGTTAAGATGAGTGTGAGAGTAAAATGACCTGTCCCACTGCATGTTCATGCCCTAGCATTGATACTCTCACAAAGTGGGGACTCAGCAAATGGAGCCTGCCTTCCCTACCTCTTTTTCTTTATAATATCCATTATTAGCGAGTCTCTTGGAAAAACTAATTACTTTGTACAAAAAGCTATAGCAAAGGTTAGATTATTCTGAAGGACATGTCAATTTTGTTTAATACAATTTGGTCAAGCCATAAGGAAATTGAGAAAGAAAGGGATGAAAAAACAGGAACCAACCCTCCGTAATTTCCTGAAAATCTGGAATGTTGGCATAGATAATTTTCTTCTTTAAAATACAAAGGAAAAAGTTTTATGGTAAATACTACTTCAAAAATTCTAGCTGAGGATGCTGCCATTAATGTCCACCTGAAACCAAATTTGGCAACCTTAATAAACAAGCCATTTTCTACAAGATGATCAAAGAGAATTATTGAAGCGATCACTTCAAACAACTCCCAAGAGTTCAATTATAATTTATCCTCAACGATTGAAAGGCAGAATTCATCAGTTGGGAACAGAGTCCTCACAGACCTAAAACTAGTGGTATGTAGACCCCCATGTGTCAGTGATGCTGAGTGCCCGAACCTTCATTGGACTCTAGGTCATGGTGCTGGCACTGGAATTCATTAAATGACAGAAATTCCCCTCCTTGTGTAATTGCACGCATTGTTACTTAGGTTAACCTAAGTTGAGAGTTAACTGCCATTCAAATTTGATTGGCTCTCAGCACCTCACAAGAGATGTCTTTCCTCCTGTCCCTTTTGGAAAAGGGGAGCATGAGAATTTTATAAACTACTGAGCTTATAGAGAGAGCTCACATGAATTTTGTTTTGCTTGATTATATTTGCTAAGTCAGCTCAGCAAACATTTCCTCCTTACTTCATTAGTATCTGGCTCATTTCTGGGTCCAGATTGAAAAACAGATGCAGCTTGGGACTAGAACAGTGGTTCTCAACCTTGACTGCACATTAGAATCACCTGGGAATCTTGTTAAAATCCTGATTTCTGGGCCTCATTAGTAACAAAGAAACAGAATTTCCGGAGGATGAGGCCCAGAAATCAGGATTTTAACAAGATTCCCATGTGATTCTAAAGTGCAGCCAAGGTTGAGAACCCCTGGACTAGAGTGTAGGTCCTGGAGGAGAAACATGGGTATCACCTGAAAGTCTATTGGAAATGCAGAGTCTCAGGCCTCTCTCCAGACCTACTGAAACAGACCGGCATTCAGTCAGGTCCCAGGTTATTGGTATATTGAAGCTTTCAGAAGCACAGAACTAGCTACCCACTGACGAGTAAGATTAAGTAAAGAGGTGTTTTTATGTTATGTCATAGACATATATATGCATAGATATATTAAGGAGCAGGAGTTACTTCAACCTGAGTATGACAATAACCACAATACTATCCTGACAGTTTTGAGTGTCCTGTAACCCAAAATACAATGGAAAGTCTATTGGCAAAAATCATAGATTAATTTCTCTAACTTTGTGCGATAAAATACTATCCTTTAATGGGTTTCAGACAACTGAGGCTAAACCCTTTAATTACTTTGAAGAGCATGCTCACTGAAGCTTTTAGAAGGCATTTTCTGAAGCTTAATGGCCCAAGAAAATAATCAGTGTAAGAGGATTAGGTTACCCAGGAGAAAAAGATGCCTTCTACATACCTGCCTACATTGCTAGAAGGGAGGGGTAGAAAAGATCAAGATCTTTTTCCTCTGTACGCCTACATGTGCATTATGATATGATTTTAAGAGTACTTGTAAGTGCATGTAATTTAATGCTCTGATCAAAACAATACAGAGAATAACTTAGCCTAATCTTTTTAGTCATCTATTTAACAAAGGACATATCATAGTTTTGAAAACTGATAAAAGGTCTTGATAAACCTGATAACATACCAGGTCCCAATTGATTGACTCAGGTTAATTCCTGATCATTTGGGTTGTATTTAAGAGAAAAAGAAAAAAGAAAAAAAAAAAAACATGAGAGAGGCTAGATGACTTGAAAAATCCAGCAACCACAAAAAGTCCAAAAGGTCTGAATTTAGGCCAATGAACCCTCTCCCCTTCGTAAAAACAAAATAGATAAACAAAAAAGAAAAACCTATAACAATAGGTCAAAATAAAAAAATATCTGACCTATTAAGAATCAAAAGATATCATTAAAACTACAGCCAGAAAATACTTTGTTTTAAGCCCTCTCTAATAGAGCATGTTAGAATGAAGATGGAATCATGGTCATTTTTAACCCCCTTATCTGGGCCAATCACATGAATTTACTAATCTTTCTGTACTATTCAAATGGATTATACAGGGTGAGGCAAAAGTAGGTTTACAGTTGTGAGTACATGAAACAGTTTAGTATTTATTATTTTCCATACAAACAACTGAAAACCCACTTCTGTCCCACCACCCTGTATATTACTATATCTCCTCTTGTGCTGTGTCTTATTTATTTTAACCTAACCTAGAATTTGTGTGTATGTGTGTGGTGAGCTCTTTTATGGTTAAGTAGAACAATGTCAAAAATTGACAATTTCTGTGAAAATCAACTGAGTATGCATGCTCATTAAAAATGCAAAAAAAAATTGTTTGAAAGTTTCCCCTCAAGGAGATTTATGTAAGACCAGATATCTTATGGTTGGCTAGCTGCTATTTGAAATGCTTCTGTACACAGAAAATATCTTCCATTTTTCCCAGCCAGATAAGCAGGAACCAAATCATGGACTGTTGCATTTTGTAGTGCTGTGCTAAATTCTCTGGGTTTTTTCCCCCACTCTCTCTAGGGGAGAATACGGTCTCCATGAATACACAGAGGTTAAGACAGTCACAATGAAAATTTCTCAGAAGAACTCATAAAGAAACTCATGGAAAGTCAGAAGAATCCTCAATGGCTAAGCATCTCATGCTGTCACTAATATATTATGGTGGGTTTTAAATACAAAAATGTTTTCTTGACTTTTTTTTTAAAAAAAACATAAGCTGATCATATTAGCATTGATACTACACATAGAATACTTACGTGTAGCTTATCCTGAATCATTTGCCTTCTGGTATGTGACCTCCAAGTCCTATCTGTAATAAAAAGGATGGATTTAGATGAAAGAGCTCTCTAGCTCCATAATAGTCATGTGCTTTTCTTTGTAGCTACTTGTCCAGGATAATCATTGTATAGAAGAGGACCAGTTGTCACTTAGCTTCTTCCCATTAACAGCCCCTTGAAGTACTTAACAAGCCTGTTAACTGTAGGGTAGATGTACTCCATTCCATTTAGTTGTGAAGTCCTTAGATTTTGTTGAAATGTTTCCAACAATGTCATGTCTTCTTCTCAAATGAAGTAATCCCTGAAATACTTAGTTGTAATCTAATCACAGAGCTTAATAAAAACAACCTTGCATGATTCTGGTTAAGTTTGAATTTTTTTAAGTTGAAGTCTTGGTTATGGTGACTTATTCTCCCTGTCGCTCTAAATCAGTGTTAATTTGAGCATAAAGATGCATTTAAAAATAAAAGTCTAGTCTACTTAATCTCAAATGGATAAACATTTTATTTTCCAGAGGAATTGTTGAAATTAATAGCAAACTTTGCGATAGATGGTCCCCATCCTTCAGCAAGCATTTATTGAGTTCCTACAAAGTTATGGGATTAAAACATATAGAATTCTGTGTTAGGTGTTATAGAAAACAGGTGAATAGTGGATGGAATAGTGGATGGTCCATGATCTCAATTTAGTGGAGAACAAAAATACTATCAAAAAGAAAGGAGAGGAGGGAGGGAGAAAGGAAAAGGAAAGAAAGAAATGAATGGAGCTTATAATGGAAATGAGAATTCTAAGAACCATAAGAGTGCTGTAACGTGCCAAAGGGGTAGCCATGACCTCTAACTGCAGGTATTGAGTCTGGCCTCATGAAGAAAATTTGACTGGATATGAACCTTAATTGATGATTGATTTGTAGTGAAAAAGGGGGAAAGAGGTTCCACAACACAGTCTCTCAAGACAGGTTCCATTAGAAAAAGTTTTTGAAAAATTCTATAAACATAATATCCCCTCTAATAGTTTCAAATTGAACATTGTCATATTCCAGGTTCTGAAAAGCCTTAAAAAACTAATACATTTTTCACCCAAATTTATTTAACCAGAGAACTTGCCTTTACCCTACCCTCATTTAATACCAATTAACACTAAGAAACCCATGCTGGAAGATGCTGTTCTATGCAACAAGTGTTCTGTGTGTTCTGAGGAGATATCTGGGGATCAAGGGGGAGCAGCTGAAATAACATCCTCTGTATAAAACTGGACCATACTTACATATTTATTCTCTCATATAAAGAGCTTCTGCATATGCTCCCATGTAAGAAACAAAAGCAGTTAATTTTTGGTGTATTACTGTGCATATTCTAAAATATTCTTGGTTCAACAGCTTAAAACTCAAGCCTAGTAATCTTCAGGATAACATTACATAAATAATTAAGTTTATCATTTTAACATTAATAGGTACTTCAGGGACACTATTATTAGGACATTATAATAGCTGCCTCAGTAGAGTGCACCAATGTGTGAATGAATAAAATTCATGAGCTTCCAGTCCTAAAACAATTTCAACTTTTAATACAAAATTTCTCAAAATTGTGTGGACCTATAAGATTTGCAATCTTGACTATCTTGTAAATTTTGGGACATAATTACCATTTTGAAAACTGGAGGAATCAGAGTCTTAGGGAGACCTGAAAGATCTTCGGACATTGAGAGGGGAAAATATCCAAATACAGAGGATGGTTATGTTTTCTGAATACCAGACAGTGTCTACATTTTTAAAAGATCTGTTTAAAACCATGCATAAATTAATAGGCAGACAAGTTAATATTGTAATGGCATCACACCAGAACCTTTTTTTAAATGTATAACAAAGAGGGCTGAACACAGAATAAGACAAAAGCCAGAAGCAAGTTTAAATATTTGAAAAGTTAACCTTCGCTGTATAAATAAGACATTACAGGATTAAACAGAAAATATCTGTTTTATATTGGCTCATTCTGAGCCTGCAGACATTATTTGTATTCCTTTTTTCCCCAATTTATAAAGCCACACTAGCAATAATTCTTAAAACCTTAAAAAAGATAAAAAGTATCTTATTAGTCCATGTGCTACAGAAAATAAAAAAATATATGTTGTCCTCAATACCCACATGGTAAAAAGCATTTTTTATTTTCAGGAATATCAGACTGTCACAGAACTTGGAGTAATTGTTTATTAAGAGGCAATCAGCCCAGCCACGTGGCTCAGTGGTTGAGCAACAACCCATGAACCAGGAGGTCAGGGCACATGTCCAGGTTGCAGGCTCAATCCCCAGAAGGGGCAGTGCAGGAGTCAGTCGATCAACTATTCTCTCTCATCATTGATGTTTCTCTCTCTCCCTCACCTTTCCTATCTCTGCAATCAATAAAAAATGTATTTTTTTAAAAAAGAGGCAATATCAGGACTTAGACATGGATTCTTAAGTGCCCAATGTCCTTTTTCCCTTCCTATGTTTTAGGATAAATGCTTCTAGATTTATTTTAAAACAGCCAAGGAGAAATAGGACATCAAAGAAATACAAAGTATTGCAAGGAAATATTATGAACAACTATATGCCCACAAATTGAACAATCAAGACAAAATGAACAAATTTCTAGAAACATAATCTTCAAAAACAGAATCAGGAAGAATGAGAAAATTTGAATAGACAGATTACAACTAATGAAATCGAAGCAGTAATAAAAAAAAATCCCAACAAACAAAAGACCAAAATCACATGGCTCACAGGAGAATTTTACCAAAAATTCAAAGAACTAACACCTATCCTTCTAAAACTATTCAAAAAAATTCAAGAGGGAAGACTCCCACGCTCATTTTATGAAGCCAGCATTATCCTAATCCCAAAACCAGATAAAGACACTATAAAGAAAGAACATTATAGGCCAATGTCCCTGATGAACATACCTGTAGATGCTAAAATCCTCAATATAATATTACCAAACCAGATACAGCAATATATTAAAAAGATCATACAACATGATCCAGTGGGATTTATTCTGAGGATGCAAGGTTGGTACAATCTTTGCAATCAATAAATGTGATATACCACATGAACAAAATAAAGAATAAAAAATTATATGAGCATTATCAATAGATACAGAAAAGCATTTGATAAAATCTAGCACCCATTTATGATAAAAAGTCTCAGCAAAGTGGCAATAGAGGGAACATACCTCAATATAATAAAGGCCATATATGACAAACACACAGCCAACATCATACTCAATGGACAAAAATTACAAGTGTTTCCCTTAAGATCAGGAACATTTTTCTCTTTCAGCATAGTACTGGAAGTCCTAGCCACAGGGATCAGGCAAGAAGAAAAAGTAAAAGGCATCCAAATGGGAGAGGAAGTAAAACTGTCATTGTTTGCAGAGGACATGTTACTGTATATAGACAACCCTAAAGATTCCACCACAAAAACACTACTAGAACTGATAAATGAATTTGGCAATGTAGCAGGATACAAAATTAACACCCAGAAATGGATGACATTTCTCTACACCAATAATGAACTATCAGAAAGGAACTAAGAAAACAATCCCATTTACAATCGCATCAAAAAAATAAAGTACCATCCTGGCTGGTGTTGTTCAGTGATTAGAGCATCGGCCCACACATCGAAGGGTCATGGGTTTGATTTTTGGTCAAAGGCACGTACCTGGGTTGTGGGTTCAATCCCTGGCCCCGATCAGGGTGCATGCAGGAGGCAACCAGTCAATGTGATTCTTACATCAATATTTCTCTATCTATCTATCTATCTATCTATCTACCTACCTACCTACCTACCTATCCCCATCCCTCCTCCCCTTATAGTCTCTCTGAAAAGCAGGGGGGAGGGGAATAGCCTCAGGTGAGGATTAACAACAACAAATAAAATAAAATAAAATAAAATGCCTAGGAATTAAATTTAACCAGGGATGCAAAGACCTGTACTCAGAAAATTATAAGACACTGAAGAAAGAAATTGAAGATGCAAATATATGGAAGCATATACCGTGTTTATGAATAGGAAGAATTAACATTATTAAAATGTCCATACTACCCAAAGCACTCTATAGAATCAATGCAATTCCTATCAAGATACCAATGGCACATTTCACAGAAATAGAATATTCAAAATATTTATATAAAACCACAAAAGACCCCAAATAGCCACAGCAATCTTACAAAACAAGACCAAACTTGGAGAAATCACACTACCCAATTTCAAATTATACTACAAGGCCACAGTAATCAAAACAGCATGGTACTAGCCTAAAAACACTCATATAGATCAATGGAACAAAAATTAACAACTTTATGGTCAACTAATATTTGGCAAAGGAGGCAAGAGCATACAATGGGGTAAAGATAGTTGATTCAACAAACGGTGTTGGGAAAGTTGGACAGATATGTGCAAAAAAATGAAACCAGATGTTAGACTCAACACTATAAAAATCCTAGAAGAAAACATAGGCAGTAAAATCTCAACATTCCTAGTAGTGCTGTTTTTCCTGATATATCTCCTCGGGCAAGGGAAACGAGAAAAAATAAACAAATGGGACTACATTGAAGTAAAATGTTTTTGCACAGCAAAGGAAACCATCAACAAAATGAAACAACAACCCACTAAATGGGAGAACATATTCACCAATGATACAGCTGATAAGGTGTTAATACCCAAAATTATGAACTATGTACAGATGATGCATTATTGAATTGTACACCTTAAATCTATAAAATTTTATTAACCAATGTCACCCCAATAAATTCAATAAAAAATTTTTTTTTCAAAAATTAAGGAGAAATGGATATGATAGCTAAATTCTGTGCATACCAAAATTCAGTGCCTGCCAGGAGGGCATGGAAGCCTACTCTTGTGACATGCTGGGCCTGTGCTATTCAGGAAGATGTCATCCTGAATGAAGGCACAAATGTGGGCGCTTAGCTCCCTCATCACTCTGACCTTCGGTACACATGGCATCTCTCTCTCTGAAGACAAAGCTACAGAATTCTTGGTGGAGACAAGATTGCTCTAGATCAGTGGTTCTCAACCTTCCTAATGCCGCGACCCTTTAATACAGTTCCTCATGCTGTGGTGACCCCCAATTTCATTGTTACAAATTGAACATAATTAAAGCATAGTGATTAATCACAAAAGCAATATATAATTATATATGTGTTTTCCGATGGTCTTAGGCGACCCCTGTGAAAGGGTCGTTTGACCCACAAAGGGGTTGCGACCCACAGGTTGAGAACTGTTGCTCTAGATCATGTCTCCACACTGGCCCTTAAATTCCAGATAGTTAATTGTTTACCCCAGGGAAAAATAGCCACATCCA